GATTTGGCAGCTTCTACATTAAGGGACCAGAGGGCTTGGAATATGATATTCCAGAGGGCAAAAGAGATAGGATTACAGCCAAGAATCATCTACCCAGCAAAACTGAGCATAATCCTTCATGGGAAAAAATAGACATTCAGTGAAACAGAGGACTTTCAAGCATTCTTGATGAAAGACCAGAGCTGAATGGAAAATTCAACTTTCAAATACAAGACTCAAGAAAAGCATGAAGAGGTAAACAGGAAAGAGAAATTATAATGGACTTATTAAGGTTAAACTGTTTACATTCTTGCATGGAAAGATGATATTTGTAACTCATGAGACCTTTGTCAGTATTAGGGTAGTGGGAAGGGGAAAAATTATATGTATAGATAGATTGCTAGATAAAGAGCACAGGGTGAGTTGAAGATGAATGGGTGATAGCTGGAAAATAAAATTAAGTCGGGGGAGAGGATTATACTGGGAGAAGGAGAAAGGGAGAGATAGAATGGAGTAAATTATCTCACAAAAAACAGACAAGAAAAGGCTTTTACAATGGAGAGGAAGTGGGGGAAGGTAAGAGGGAATGAGTGAATCTTATTCTCATAGGATTTGACTTAAGGGGGGAATAACATACACACTCAATTGGGTACGGAAATCTGTCTTACCCTACAGGAAAACGGGGGGAAGGGAATAAGAGGGGGGATGATAGAGGGAAGGGCAGATTGGGGGAGAGAGTAATCAGAAGCAAACACTTCTGAGGAGGGACAGAGTTAAAAGTGAGAAAAATGAAGGGACAGGACAGGATGAAGGAAAATATAGTTAGTTTTCCACAGCATGACTAGTATGGAAGTGTTTTGCATAACTACACATGTATAACCTGTATTGAGTTGCTTGCCTTTTCAGTGAGAGTGGGTGGGGAGGGAAGAAGGGAGAAAATTTGGAACCCAAAGTTTTAAAAACACATGTTAAAAAAAAGTGTTTTCACATGCAACTGGGAAATAAGAAATACAGGAAATGCAATATAGAAATCTATCATGCAGGAAAATAGAAGTGGAAGGGGATAAGGGGCGGGGAGATAGAGGGAAGGGCAGATTAGGGGAAAGGGTATTCAGAGTGCATTCTGGGGGAGAATGGGGGAGGGATGAGATGGGGAGAAAATATGGAACTCAAAATCTTGTGGAAGTGAATGTTAAAAACTAAAAATAAATAAATTAATGAATCTCAAAAAAAACCATATTAATTTATTATAATGCTAAAAGGGGCCTTGCACATAGAAAGTACTTGATAGATCTTTGTTGGGCTGTACTTGTAAGAATACTTTAAAACTGCCATTTCTTATTCCTCTCCTTTATCCTGCATCATATACTTACAACTCTATTGACCCTGGGAAAGTCAATTAATCTTTCTAAGCCTCCATTTCCTAATCTGTAAAACAGAGATAATAAAAGCATCTACCTCATAAGGTTGTTATGAGGATTAAATGAGATATCATACTTGCTATTGGAAGGCCTAGGTTCTAATACCAGCTCTGTTGAAAGCTTATTCTGTGATCTCAGAATCTATGTCTTTGGTATGAAGAGCTAACTCCGGACTATGCTTCAAGTCAATTCAACAAACATTTATTAACCAACTTTTTAGCACAGGCACTGTGCTAGTACTGGGGATGTAAAAGGAAAAAACATTCCCTGCCCTCAAAGAGCTTACAACTTAAAAGGGGAGATACCATGCAAACAATTCCATGTAACAGGATAAACTGGAGATAATATCAGAAGGAAGGCACTAGTATTAAAGTGAATCAAGTAAGGCAGAAGGTAGATTTTAGCTGGGACTTGAAGGAAGCCAGGAAAGACAGGAGGCAGAGTTGAGAGGGGAAAGAGTTTCAGGCATGAATGAAAATGCCCAGAGTCAGGAGATGGAATCTTCTTGTCTAAACAGCAAGGAGGCCAAGGTGTAAGAAGACTGAAAAGGTAAGAAGGAAGCAGTTTATGAAAGTCTTTAAATGCCAAATAGAGGATTTTATATTTGATTCCGGAGGTAACAGGGAGTGACTAGAGCAAGGCAACAGGGTCAGAATTATACTTTAGGACAATCACTTTGATAGCTGAGTGGAGGATGAACTCGAGTGGGAACAGACTTGTGGCAGACAGCCCAACAAGCACGCTACTGCAATAGTCTAGCTGAGACATAAGGAGCCTGCACCAGGGTGGTGGCAGCATCAGAGGAGAGAAAAGGGTACACATGAGAGACATTGAGAACAACAGGACTTTGGAAATCCCTGGGGTAGTTAATCCACTCAGTTTGGAAAGCTTGCTCTGGGGCTGTGCTTTTTTGAGCAGTGAATACAAACCCACTAAGCTCATTACAACTAGCATGTCTCAAATCAGACTATGTTTCACATCTGATGAGGTAGATGAGGTTCAGAGTCAGCTTGTCCAGAAAGAATTCAGGGGGCAGAGGTTCTCCTAATCAAGAGGCTTTACTGACATAAAAGCAGTAGGCTAGCCCCAGAAGGACTAGCAACTAGAAAAAAGACAGGTGCTTGCTTTTGTACACAAGTCAGCCAGAAATGGGCAGTTAACTACAGGGAAGGATAATCAGGAAGGGGAAGCAGACATGTTGGGTATTTTACACAACAGGGAACTTAACTTGCAACATTCAAGGATATGGCCATAAACCATAGTGGTTAGTCAAGTACACAGAAAATAACAAGGTTTTCTTGTCAACAGATAGTACCCCCTGTTACCGGGCAGATTTAGATTTAGGCAAGGCTCTCATTGTTGCTGGGCAGAAGTCAGCTTCATCAACATGCCATCCAGCCATCCATCTGGATGTTTGCAATATGGCACATGTGTACCTGTCCTTTCCTCCTTTCCCCTCTCTCCCTTCCTGAAATCAATACTACCAGTGTACAAAAGATCTTATTCATTGGATGCTCTATCCATTAACTCACTATCCCTGTGACTCTATAGATCAAAACTCTCTTCCCTGGACACCATTCCCACATATATGTTTTGCCTGCCCCTATTTAATAGGGACTATTAGAATGTAAGCTCCATGATAGCAAGAGCTGTCTCATTTTTGTATTTGTAATCCCAACATCTGGCAGTATGCCAGGCACTTCCTGGGCACTTAATACATGCCTTTTCATTCATTTTATTATATATGTGTATATATGTGTGTGTGTGTGTGTGTGTGTGTGTATGTATATATACACATAGGCATACATATATGAATATCCATGTGGATGTATGTGTTTATACACACACATATATATATACATACATATATTTAAATATATTGATAGAAATAGAGTTTTTCAAACCTTAAAATGCTAGAAATGTGGGCTATAACAATAACTAAAAGGTAGGTTGGAGCCGATTAAGAGCAGCTTAGGTGGCAAAGTGGAAAAAGTGCTGGATCTGGAGTCAAGAAGACTCATCTTCCAGACTTCGAATCTGGCCTCAGATGCTTAATAGCTGTGTGACCTTGGGCAAGTCACTTAACCCTGTTTGCCTCAGTTTCCTCCTCTGTGAAATAAGCTGGAGAAGGAAATGACAAACTGCTCTAGTATCTTTGCCAAGAAAACCCCAAATGGAGTCAGGAAGAGTTGGACGTGATTGAACAACAGCTTTAAATGCCAGGCAGAAAAATTTCTATTTAATCCAAAAGATAATAGGAAGCCACTGAAAATTTTAGAGCAAGGGGAGTTAAGGGAAATAAGTGGACAGCTTTTATCAGAAAGGCTTGTTTTCTCCTTCTAACTTACAAGCTGTGACTTAGGTAAATCAAAATTACAAAGCATTAGTTTCCTTATCTCCGGGAGCCAGGATAACAGCCTTCCCAACTATCTTTAACCAGTTGTCTAGACTAAATAGAATATTTTGTGTTAAAGTGTTTTGTAAACTGTAAAGTGACTTTACAAAGGTAAACTATTATAATTCTACACTGGCTGTATTTTCAGAATACATACAGGCTCCCAGAGCAGACCTTAGTGGAAGCATTTTGGACATTACCTAAATGCTGGCAGTCTGAAAAACACAGCATGATAGCTAGATCTATTAATTTTTATGGTTTTTTTTTTAGCCTTGAACTTGATCTTAAGGATTACAGAAGGATTCAATTTGGTAAACAGGATTATCCATCTGGAACTGCAAGGGGCCTTAAAAGTCATCTAGTCCAGGGCTTCTTAAACTGTAAGACTAGAATTTCTAGTCCAACTCTCTCATCTTACAAATGAGAAAGTTGAGACCTGGAAAGATTAAGTGACTTGCCCAAAGTCACACAGATACTAAATATCAGGGCTGAATTTGAATCCAGGTCCAGTACTTCCAAAGCTAGTACTCTTTTCCACTCTTACCAAACTTTGTCTATAATAATTAATACTGTAGACGGTGGTAGTGGTGGTGATTATTACAACAATAATAATATTTACATAACTCGTACTCTGTGCCAGGCACTGTACTAAGCATTTTACAATGGATAATAATACTTATATTTATATAGCTTACTCTGTGCCAGGCACTGTGCTAAGCACTTTACAAACATTATGTCATTTGAACCTCACAACAACTCTGCGAGGTAGGTGCTATTATTATCCCTATTTTACAGATAAGGAAAGGGAGGCAAACAGAGGTTAAGTGACTTGCCAGGGGTCACTGAAGCCGCCTTTGAAATCAAGGTTCCAGCCTTCAGCAAGTCTCTGTTTCTCTCTCTCCTCTCGCTTTCTCTGTGTCTGTTTCCACTCTCTCTGCCTCTCACAGTATCCGCCTTTCCCGGGCCCGAAGCCCGGGACACCGCCACCAAATTCATCTCCCGCCGCCCCTGCCCTAACTCATCATGGCAGCTTCGGCTTCACTGCTCCCAGCTCCCTCGAGGATTCGCTAGCTCTGCGCGGCGACCGTCTCCTGGTCGGCTTCAACCGGGCACGGGCGCCCAGGGATGACGCTGCAAAAATAAATAAATAAATAAATAAATAAATAGAAGCCAGCCCGAGTAGCACGAGGTGCGAGCGAGCGCTGGGCAAGCGCAGTGCGCCCGCCGGGGAGGCAGTTCCTTCCTTAGTTGGTATGAGCGGCGGAGGGACTGAGGCCCCTTCGGGGGGCGAGGGCGCCCCCACCCCCGCCGCGGTCCCGGTAGGAGGCAAGAAACGAGACTCGCAGGGACCGGCGAGCTCGCCAGTTCACCTTATTATCAAGGGTAAGGAGTTGTCAGCGCTCCCCTTCCCCACCTTCCACCTCTGCGGCCCCAAGGAGTAGGCCGGGCCGAACCCCTGCGTCCTCCACCCTGGAGTGGGCGCCTCCTCCCCAGCCCAGGCACGGGCGTGGTCCCCGCCCCAGCCCCTCGTGAGCCGCTCCGCCCTAATCCCCAGGAGCCCCGCCCTTCCATGCACCCCCGCTTTTCCTGGGGTTTGTTTTGTGTCTGCGCCGGTCTGCGGGCTGTAGATGCCCTGGCCAGAGGCGTCCAGAAAGAGGCCGGCCTCCCCTCCATGCTGCCGCCACATGCGCTCTCCTTGCTGCGCTGCAGTCAACAACGATAGTGATAATCTAGCATTTTTGAAGCGCCTACTATGTGCCTCGCACTGTGCTAAGAATTGGGGGTACAAGAAGGTCATAAGACAGCCCCTGCTCTCAAGTATTAAGATTTGCGAAGCGCTTTACATATTATGTCATTGGATCGACTGCCAAGTGCTCTTTCTACCAGACAACCACCCTTCTGGTTCTCACAACCCGGAGTTCTTGCACCCAGCCCACCTAAGTTCCGTTCATAAAGGTAGAGCTGGACTGGGCCTCCGACACCGTGTCTAATCTGATTCTCTCGTTTTACAGTTGAGGAAACAGGCCTGGAGAGGGGAAATGATTTGCTCAGGGTGACACAGGTAGTAAATGTTAGAAGTCAGTCAGCCAACAAGCAATTATAAGGGCTTACTGTGTGCCAGGCTTTGGGCTAAGGGATACAAACAAAGAAAGACTAAAAAACAAAATAAAACAGGAAACCCAGGGTTCCTGACGTCAGGGATTTCCCATTCAATGATTAATTAAATTTTAAAATACTGATATCTTATAATTCAGTACTCACATCTTGTGCTTATATATATATTGCTCTAGTTGATTTTTGAATTTTGTAAAAACTTTTATCAGCTCCTATTGAGTGACTGAAAAGTTGACTTTTGAAGTGCTAGCTTTATTAAGATCATCCAAAGAAGGAAGTTTTGGTGCATACAGATCAATTTTGACATTGCACAAGAAAAGGTCTAATGGAAAGAGATAAGATGATGGAAATGGCTGAGCAAGAGAACCTCTACCAATCCACTGTCTGAGAAGTGTCATCTATGAAATTAAATTTAAATTTAATATGTATTCAAAATTCACAAAACAATAAATGTTAGATTTAAATAAACTTTTTTAAAGTTTGTAGCACACATACTTCTGAAATCATTAAAGCTTAATACTGCACTAAGACTTTTGGGATACCACCTAGTGCAAATGGATGGTGATCTCAGAGAACTCTCTCCTCTGAGTAGAAGGAAAAGGCTTCTTGCAAAAAGTAGGATTTGAACATAGTCTTGAAAGAAGCCAGGGAAAGTAGGAGATAAAAAACGAGGAGGTAGAGGAGCATTCCAGGCATGGGAGACAGAGGAATGAAATGTCTCCTGTATAAGGAACAAGACCAGTATAGGTGGATCTTAAGAGTATATGGAGGAAAATAAAATGTAAGAAGACTAAAATAGTAAGAAGGGTCCAGGTTTTGAAGGGCTTAAAGTGCAATGCGTATTTGATCCTGGAGGAAACGGAATCCTTGGAAATTGTTGAATGACATGTTGGGTGATCTGGTTAGAACCTTGCTTCAGGAAATCATTTTCTTAGTTGAATGGAGGGTGGATTGGTAGACTAATTAGAGGGTTATTGTAATAGACCAGGTGAGTAAGAGGTGATAAAGATAGTGGCTTATGAATAGAGAGAAAGGGACATGTGAGAGATGCTGTAAAGGTAGAAATGATAATAATTGCAATCTGGATATGTAGGATAAGTGTAAGTGAAAAGATGAGTTTGACAATGAGATTTTAGCCTAGATGAATGGGAAGATGGTGATGCCGTTGACATAATAGGGAAGTTGGGAAGAGAAGGTTGGTGCAGAAGGAGGGGAGGAAGCTAATGAATTCTGTTTGTACATGTTGAATTTGATTTGAATCCTGATCCTCTGACCCCATAGCCAATACCTTAATTGATTCTACTGCTCTGCCTTAATTGATATTCTCTGTAGCAGCTAAATATTCCTAAAGCACAGGTTTGACCATATCTCTTCTGTTCAAGATACTCCAGTGGTTTCCTGTTGTCTTTAGGATAAAATACAGTGTCTTCTGTTTGACATTTCAAGTTTTTCACGATCTGACTCCAGTCTACCTTTCCAAGATGATTGTACATTACTTCCTCCTCAGTTATCTTGTATTCTAGCTGAACTGGCAGCCTTGCCATTGTTTCATAAATCTACATAGTTTGTACAGGTTGGCCTGAGGTCTGGACCATTCTCCCTCACCTCTGCCGCTTGAAACCCCTTGAATAACTGAAGTTGAGAATTACTGAAGGGAAAATAGAGGGGAGAATGGGGGAGGTATGAGCAGGCTCTAGCACCTTAAGAAGAAAGTATAGCTAGTAAATAGAAGGACTACTTACTTAGTGAAAACAAGGGATAAATTATAATCTTCTTGCTCCTATTGGTATCCCTGAAATCTCAGAAGAAATTGAGGATGGCTTCCAGCATGTTAGGTGAACCTCCAGTGACGAATTTATGAAAGCACATGGACAAGGTGCACAGGATGGGCAGGAATTGATTGCAGACCTGATCAGAGGGAATTTACATATGAATGAATTCACAGTTCCGTAAGAGTATTAGAATATATATTTGTGGAAGACTAAAAATATATGCCAGTGAACACAAGGAAGAGTTATGTCTGTGTATCTTTGTTCCCATGGGATAGGTAGTGTGGTATGGTGTAGAAAATCCTGGACTTTGGGTTTTGATCCCAGTCTGACTTATATTAATTCCAAGATCTTAGACAATTCACAGTTCTTTGAGCCTGAAGTTTCTTCATCTGTAAAATGGGAATAATGCACTTAAAGGGTTGTAAGGATCTATTCAGTTCAGCAGGTATTTGTTGGATGCCTAATATGTGCAAGGCAATGTGCTAGGTGTTGAGTATACAAAGAAAACAAGGAAACTGTCTTCCCTAAAGGTTTCTACATTGTGCTGTAGTAGGGAGAATACAACACATACAGCATGTGGTATAAGTATAATGTCAGGTAACAAGTGAGGGGGCAAAGATGGGGAGAGCATTTAATTTTATTTACTTTTTTAATAATAAATGTATTTATTTATTTTTAGTTTTCAATATTCACTTTCATAAGATTGAGTTCCAAATTTTCTCCCCATCTCTCCTCTACCCCCACCCCAGGATGGTATGTGAATTGATATAGGCTCAACATATACATTCATATTAAACCTATTTTCACATTAGTCATGTTGTAAAGAAGAATTAGAACCAATAGGAGAAACCATGAGAAAAAAGAAATAAAAAAAAGAGAGAGAGCGCAAATAATATGCTTTGATCTGCATTCAGACTCCATAGTTCTTTTTCTAGGTGTGGACAACATTTTCAATCATGAGTCTTTTAGAGCTGTCTTAGATCCTTGCATTGCTAAGGAGAGATAAGTCTGTCAGAGTTAGTCATCACACAGTGGGGCTGTTATTGTGTACAGTTATCTCCTGGTTCTGCTCACTTCACTCAGCATAGTTCATATAAATCTTTCCAGGTTTTTCTGAAGTCAGCCTGCTCATCATTTCTTATAGCACGGTACTATTCCATTACATTCATATACCACAACTTGTTCAGCTAGCTATTCCCCAGCTGATGAGCATCCCTTCAATTTCCAGTTCTTTGCCATCACAAAAAGAGCTGCTATAAATATTTTTGTACATGTGAGTCCTTTTCCCATTTGTATGATCTCTTTGGGATGCAGACCTAGAAGTGGTATTGCTAGAGCAAAGGGTATGCACAATTTTGTAGCCCTTTGGGCACAGTTCCAAATTGCTCTCCAGAATGGTTGGCTCAGTTCACAACTCCACTAACAATGCATTAATGTTCCAATTTTCCCACATCTTTGCCAACATTTATCATTGTCCTGTTTTGTCATGTTAGCCAATCTGATAGGTGTGATGTGGTACCTCAGAGTCTTTTGATTTGCATTTCTCCAATCAATAGTGATTTAGAACATTTTTTCGTCTGATTATAGATAGCTTTGATTTTTTCCTTTGAAAACTGCCTGTTCATATCCGTTGACCATTTATCAATTGGGGAATGACTTGTATTCTTATAAATTTGACTCAGTTCTCTGTATATTTTAGAAATGAGGCCTTTATCAGAGATTCTGGCTGTAAAGATTCTTTTTTTTTTAAATTAATAAATTTATTTATTTTTAGTTTTCAACATTTACTTCCACAAGATTTTGAGTTCCAAATTTTCAGCCCATCTCGCCCCTCCCCCCACCCCAAGATGGCGTGCATTCTGAATACCCCTTCCCTTCTATTTCTTCCCCCCTTCTCTTATCCCCTTCCCTGTCTATTTTCCTGTAGGGCAGGATAGATTTCTGTAACCCATTTCCTGTATTTCTTATTTCCCAGTTGCATATGAAAACATTTTTTTTTAAACATGTGTTTTTAAAACTTTGGGTTCCAAATTTTCTCCCTTCCTCCCTCCCCACCCACCTTCATTGAAAAGGCAAGCAACTCAATATAGGCTATACATGTGCGATTATGCAAAACACTTCCATAGTAGACATGCTGTGAAAAACTAACTCTATTTCCCTTAATCCTATCCCGCGCCCCCCATTTATTCTATTCTTTCTTTTGGCCCTGTCCCTCCTCAAAAGTGTTTGCTTCTGATTACCCCCTCTCCCAATCTGCCCTCCCCTCTATCATCCTCCTGCTGTCTTGTCTCCCCCCCCCCATTTTCCTGTAGGGTAAGACAGATTTCCATACCCAATTGAATGTGTATGTTATTCCCTCCTTAAGTCAAATCCTATGAGAATAAGATACACTCATTCCCTCTCACCTTCCCCCTGTTTCCCCTCTACTGTAAGAGCCTTTTCTTTTCTGTTTTTTTTGTGAGATAATTTACCCCATTCTACCTCTTCCTTTCTCCTTCTCCTAGTATAATCCTCTCTCACCCCTTAATTTTATTCTCCAGATATGACCCCTTCATCTTCAACTCACCCTATGCCCTATATCTATCTATGTATCTATCTATACATATACATACATATAATTTTTTCCCTCCAGCTCCCCTAATATTGGCAAAGGTCTCATGAGTTACAAATATCATCTTTCCATGCAGGAATGTAAACAGTTCAACTTTAATAAGTCTCTTATGATTTCTCTTTCCTGTTTACCTCTTCATTTTCCACTTTAGTCTTATATTGGAATGTCAAATTTTCTATTCGGCTCTGGTCTTTTCATCAAGAATGCTTGAAAGTCCTCTATTTCACTGAATGACCATTTTTTCCCATGAAGGATTATGCTCAGTTTTGCTGAGTAGGTGATTCTTGGCTGTAATCCTATCTCCTTTGCCCTCTGGAATATCATATTCCAAGCCCTCTGGTCCCTTAATGTAGAAGCTGCCAAATCCTGTGTTATCCTGATTGTGTTTCCACAATACTTGAATTGTTTCTTTCTGGGTGCCTGTGATATTTTCTCCTTGATTGGGAACTTTGGCATTTGGCTACAATATTCCTAGGAGTTTTCCTTTGGGGATCTCTTTCAGGAGGAGATGGGTGGATTCTTTCAATTTCTATTTTGCCCTCTGGTTCTAAAATATCACAGCAGTTTTCCTTGATCATTTCTTGAAAGATGATGTCTAGCCTCTTTTTTTGGTCATGGCTTTCAGATAGTCCCATAATTTTTAAATTCTCTCTCCTGGATCTATTTTCCAGGTCAGTTGTTTTTCCAATGAGATATTTCACATTGTTTTCTAATTTTTCATTCTTTTGGATTTGTTTTACAGTGTCTTGATTTCTCATAGAGTCACTAGCTTCCAGTTGCTCTATTCTGATTTTTAAGGAAGTATTTTCTTCTGTAATCTTTTGGACTTCCTTTTCCATTTGACCAGTTTTGCTTTTTAGGGCATTCTTCTCTTCACTGGCTTTTTGGACCTCTTTTGCCATTTGGGTTACACTATTTTTTAAGGTGTTATTTTCTTCAGTATTTTTTTGGGTCTCCTTTAGCAAGCTGTTGACTTGCTTTTCATGATTTTCTTCCATCACTCTCATTTCTCTTCCCAGTTTTTCCTCTACTTCTCTTACTTGCTTCTCAAAATCCCTTTTAAGCTCTTCCAAGGCCTAGGACTGATTCATATTTTTCTTGGAGACTTTGGATGTAGGAGCTTTGACTTTATTGTCTTCTTCCGGTTGTATGTTTTGATCATCTTTGTAACCAAAATAAGATAATATAGTCTGACTCTTTTTGCTCTGCGTACTCATGATCCCAGCCAATTACTTGAGTTTTAAACTCTCTGTTAAGGTAAGAGTCTGCTTCCAATGTGGAGAATGTACTGTCCCAAGCTTCAGGGGTTTGTACAGCTCTTTTAGAGATACTTCTAGGGACCAGTAAATTTTCAGTTCTTTCAGGGTGGTACGATAAGGGGCGTGGTGTTTCCTCTCCACTGCCACAACAAGCTCCACCATGCCAGCACTCCACCTCGCTCCAGGACTACCCCTCAGAACTGTGACCCAGATCCAAGTATGGTAAAAGCAAGAGATTCCTGCCTCAGCACTGGTAAAGTGATCCCTGCAATCCTGCCCCGATCAGTCACTCGATTCCCCCTCAGTCTGTGGGCAGGAAGCTCAGGAGGCAGCCACAGCCCCAGGCCATGCTCTGGACTTGTGGCTGAGACCTAGCTTTTCTCTCTCACCGCAGTCACAGACTTTTCCCACTGACTTTCTAATTTGTTTTTGGCATTCATGGGTTGAGAAGTCTGGAAACTGCCACAGCTGCCCACGATTCAGCCCTCTGAGGCCTTCTGCAGGTTTGCTGTGGCCTGTGTGCCCATGCCAAACTGCGCTCCTCTCCCTGCCCATCGCGATATACCTTTCTGATCAATCATCCAGGTTGTCTTGGGCAGGAAGTTTGTTTCACTCTGTTTTTTTGTGCATTCTGCTGCTTTAGAATTTGTTTAGAACCATATTTTATAGATATTTGGAGGGGTTTGAGGGAGAGCTCAAGCAAGTCACTGCTTTCCCTCTGCCATCTTAGCTCCCCCCCCCCCGACCCAAGCCTTCTTGCAGCCAAAAACAAAGTTTATTGAAGATTCGCCACATTAGCTAGACTCTTAAGGAATCTGAGCATCTATTGGCTATTGGCTAGATTCTAAGAATCAGCGCCTAAAAATTCTTTCCCAGTTTTCTGCTTCCCTCCTAATCTTGGTTGCATTGGCTTTGTGCAAAAACTTTACAATTTAATGTAATCAAAATTATCCATTTTGCATTTCATAATGTTCTCTAACTCTTGTTTGGTCATAAATTTTTCCATTCTTCATAAATCTGACAGGTAAACTATTCCTTGCTAGGGAGAGCATTTTAACAGGGGGTTCAGGAAAGGCTTCAAAGGAAGATAGCACCTGAGGTGAGCTTTGAAAGAAAATAAAGAATGTAAAAGTTGGCAATGAGGTGGATGTTTATGCCAGACATTGTGGATGCTTATGTGAATGCAGAAAGGCAGAAGATAGCTTATCAAGTTAGGAAACTTTAGGAAAATTCAAGTAACACTAGTTTTCTGGAATTTAAGGTGGATGGAAAGGGATTATTATAAAACGAAGCTAGAAAAGTAGGTTTAGCTAGATTGTTGAGGACTTTGATGCCAGGGTAACAGCACATTTTATTTCATCCTAGAAGTGATTGAAAACCACTAAGGCTTTTTTTTTTCTTTTTTTTTAAGCAAGCCAGTGACATGGTTAGACCTGTTAAGGTCTGAGAGGTTGAGACCCCTCAAGGACCAGAGTATAGGACACTGTCATCTGGAATGAATTCACAGACTCAAGCATTCTTTAAGTCAAGGTGGAAAAGATTTATTGTCATGCTATACAAGGGGGCAGAGGTCCTTAGGGAACTTGCAACCTGACAAGAATGATGCTAAAGCTTATATAAGAAAAGTAGTGGATTACAGCAAGTATGCTAATTAGGTGATAACATACAACTATGTCATTCACTACTGGAAATCTTGGAGAGGGGGAAGAGAGGGTACCTAAAGAGTATATTTTTGATCTGTTATATCTGTGACAAGATAGTTTAAGGAGTTGACGTCTATAGCTTGGCCTCTGGATTGTATACGGTAACTGTGGGCATCAGTATTTGATAGTTTTGCTGGTACAAGATAGCCCTGTTCATATAAGGGAAATTCTACAGAGGTCAGTTTGTTCTTGTAACAGGGAAAGATAGTTTGCCTCACTGGGCCCACTCATGAGTCACTGCCAGAGATAAGGTCTTTGGGCTGGAGGGAAACTGTCAGGAATAGTGTTTTTGAGGCTGGGGAGAAATGTGGTCTTGGAAGTGGGGTCCGAGTATGAGCACTCACCAGGATAAAGAGAAAATAGTAAAAGGTCCGGCATTAAAGCTTGAGTGATAGCTACACTTACTGGAGAAAATTAGCCAGAAAAAAGGGACTGCGAAGAAGCAATCAGGTAGAAGAACCAGGAGTGGCCAGTCAGTGCCACAGAAGAGAAGGAAGGAGAAGAATACTTAGGAGGAGGGAGGTAGTCAATAGTGTCAAAAGAACAAAGAAGGTCAAGTGGAAGAGAGTGGTTTGAGAAGCAATATTTGGGGTTGGGGGTTGAAGAGAAGCTTTTACCATTTTTTTGCATCCCCAGGGCTTAACACATTGTTAAGCCTACGTAGTAGGCAATAAATGCTTTTTGAAAAACAGACTAGTGAGGAAGTTGTAGCAACTATAGATCAATCATTCTAAGGACTTACTTGTGAAGCACATAGTACTGGTCAACACTTAACTGTATGTAATAATTTAATTTCTCTAGAAATTTCAGGTTATACATCTTAGGCCTCATGATTGTTAAGTGTAGAATGAATAAGTTTACCACAGGTAAATTTCTAAATTGTAACTTTCTTGTACCTGTAACTTTTCCTAAATCTTAGGAATTTTAGAAAAAATTTCAAACAAAAAAGCTTGTTGTACTACTTCCAGCAAGGAATAGGATCATAGATTTACAGCTAGAAAGGACTTAGACGTCATCTAGTACAGAGATGTCAAACACATGGCCCTTTAATTGCTGCCCCAACACTCAAGTACAACCAAACCAGATTAAAATAACATTTTAACAAAATTTAACAAAATAAATTTACAATAAAATAATAATTTATAATAAAATAAATTTAACAAAATAAAACATTTGACAAAATAAAAATACAATAGAACATAGATAATGTTAATATGTGGTTTTTTAAAGTCATTATGTGGTACCAGGGCTGTTTCTGTTTGAGTTTTTACCATTGATCTAGGCTAACTCCGTCATTTTCTAGATGAGGAGACAAGCTCACAGGGATTAAGTGACTTGACTGAAGTCATATTGGTAATTAGGTGACAAAATTCAGGTTCAAGTCCAAATTCTCTGACTCCTAATCCAGTGCTTTTTTTCCATTGTTCCACACACATTACCAATAACTTGACATTTATTTTGTCTTTATAGATCTGGGAGAGATTCATTCTAGGCTGTTAGATCATCGACCAATTATTCAAGGAGAAACACGTTACTTTGTGAAAGAATTTGAAGTGAGTATTTATCTTTGAAATATTATTATTAAAAATACCAATTACTGGTTAGAACTCTGAATTAGAGAGAAACTTCTTAAGTTTTAATTTCTCCATGATCACTTCTTATATCCACAGCATGGTAGAAAAAAACCTTTAAGAATATAGAATAAATAGGTAAACAATATGTTAATACTTCAAAAGCATTATTTAAAGTATTTTCTTTTTTTAAAAAAATCTTATTTATACTGGAAAAAATAATGCTGACATTTTCCAATCACCACTCCTCCCTTCCTCTCCCTACCTTCCAGAAACCCTTTGGTGAAAAGAAAAACAAACCAGTACGTTTACCATGGTTTACCATATGCTTTATGCCCTACTAGTAGTTTACACCTTCTCTATGGAAAGGAGAAAAGTAAATTTCGTCATCAACTGTAGCGCAGAGTGGTGCTATGGAAAGAATGCCATGCTTAGAGTCTCAGCTCTCCCAGTTCTTAACTGCATCATCTTAGGCAAGTCACTTAACCTCTCTGGCTTCAGTTTCCTCATATGCAGAACAAGAATATTGGACTAGATGACCTTTATGTTTTCTTCCAAAGTTATTTGATCCTGTGATTCTCTTGATTCATTGAATTCATCTGAGGTTCTGGTGGATTTCAGTGTTTTCCTTTACATGTTGTGGTTATTTTGTATATTTTTTTTGGTTTTGCCAACTTTGATTTGTGTCATATAAAGACTTCCCAAGTTCTTCTGAATTCTTATCTCCTTCCTTCCTTTCAAGGGCTTGGAGACTTACTTTAGGCACTGTGATGTTAAAGGATTTGCCTAGCATCACCCACCCAGTATCAGAGACAAACTATCTTCCTGTCTGATGCTAACTTTCTGTTCACTGCCTTTTTCCATAGCAAAAGGCTACAAAGTGGGTGCTCACATGCTAGGAAGTGACTGAATAGATTTTGGCATATGAATGTAACAGAACATTCTTATGTCATTTTTTATCCATCCACCCCCATTTTCTGCATCACAAAGGGTGTCATTAGGAACATTTTGTTATATATGAGACCTTTCTTTCTGTCACTGATTTCCTTGAACAAAAACCCCAGTTGTGGGATCATTGAATCCAAACTTTTGAACAGTTTAATGACTTATTGCTTCTCATATAGTTACAAATTGTTTTCTAAAATGCTTGGATCAATTCACATATCCAACGACATAGTATCCGTCTTCCTATAGTCTCTCTAACATTGTTTTTTTTTTCTTTTTTTAAATCTTTGCCAGTTTGCTGGATGTGAGATTAAATCTCAGAATTGTTTTAATCTGCATTTCTTTTTATTGATATGAAACTTTTTTCCATGTTGGTGTTGATCATTTGCATTTCCTTTGAAGTGCTTTTTTCATATCCTTTTATCTTCCTTGTACATTATTTGCCTTCTACATTCTTCACTTTAAAGGATTGTAACTTAAAACAATAGCTTCCAACCTGTAGGTTGCAGTTATTTCAGGAAGCCTATTAATTCACATGTGTACTTGTTATTTGGCCATTATTTTCTTAGTCAGTGCATACTAAGTAAATCTACTATCATATGAAGAACTGTGAATTTTTTTAAGAAAGATCTTCATTAGTCAAAAAAAAAAAAGACCCGCTGATATTTATATAATACTTTAAAGTTTACAAAGCACTTTACATATTTTGTCTCACTTGAACTTCACAGTAACCCTGTGACATTAGTACTACTGGTACAAATTGCTTTTTTTCATTTTTTAGATAGAACACTGGGGCCCAGACAGGTCAAGTGACTTACCCGTAGACTCGTAGAGAATATATGATACAGGATTTGAATCCAGATCTTCTTACTGTAAGTCCAACACTCTGTCTACTAAGCTGTACTGTCACTAGAAAAACTTGGGAACCACTGCCTTAAATTTTAGAGCATGATGCAGATAGGTGGCAAAGGGAACAGAACAAGTGGCGAGGAGACCAAAAGACCTGAATTCAAATCCAGCCTCATACATTTACTGGCTGTGTGACCTTGGCCAAGTCACTTAACCTTGTTTGCCTCAGTTTCCTAGATGAAATAAGCTGGAAAAGGACCACTCCAATATCTGTGCCAAGAAAACCTCAGATCCGTTCATGAAAAGTTGGACACGACTGAAATGACTCAACAACAGCAATATGTAAACCTATAAAATAGACAGCTTCTCTCTGCACTTGCCTGGAGCGCTCTTCTTCCTAATCTCTACCTTCTGGTTTCCCTATAAGTCTCAGATAAAAATCCCACTTTCTGCAAGAAGCTGTTCAATTCTTCCTTAATCTTAGTGCCTCCCCTTTGAAATTATCTACAATTTAATCTGTATGTGTCTTATTTATACATAGTTGTTTGAATGTTGTGTCCCTTCTTAGGTTGTGAGTTTTTTGAGAATAGAAATTATTTTTTACCTTTCTTTGTATCCCCAGTGCTTAGCACAAGGATTGGTACACAGTAGGTACTTAATAAATACCTATTGGCTCGTGAAAATGGTACTTAATGAATACTTATTGACTGGTGAAAATAAGTTTGTAAGAGGAATGCTTACTAAAGAGGATATACTTTTAACACTTAGGAAAGTTTATTCCCAGTGGTAGTGGCTCTATGCCCTGGTTGAAGATCCATCAGAGAAAACCTGACACCTTGAGAGAAAACGATTTCAGCTGAATGTTGAGAATGGAAACAAGATTGCAGAGAGTTTTAGAAGAGAGTAAGAGGAAAGGAAGTGGAGGCATCAATTGCAGATAGCTTTTTCAAGTTTAACTGTGAGGGGAAGGCACATGTAGAAGGGTTTCCCTTCGCAAGGAGAAGAGCCACCTCTTCATGTGAGACAGGAGTGAAGGAGGAGATGGTGGAGAAAGGCATCTGAGTCATGTAAGTTGAGGAGTAGGTGAGAAGAAGGAGCTCTTGGCAAATGTGCTCAGTTTTTCAGTAAAATATGAGGCAAGGTTCTCAGCTGGAGGTGGGAGGGTGGTATAGGGAGCCATGGGAGCCTTGAAAAGGAAAGAAAAGGCTTGTAAAAACTGCCTTGGTAGAGTGAATTTATTATTGAATGTGCATAAATGCAGTAAAACTGCATTTTTAAATAAACATTGGGATTTTCAAAATTTCTACTTGGCCTTCCCTCTGAATTATTACAAATTTCTTCTCCCATCTGACTCAACTGTGTTTTTCTGTTGTACCGATTCAAAGGAAAAAAATAGAAGTTGTTGTGGAACCTCAAGGTTTATATGTAACTTTAAAAAACTTTTATCTTAGTCTAGTGTCTAATATACTTCATTAAAATTTCTGGGGCTTTTGTACAGAGATGCTTGAGTCTGAAGAAAGAAAAACAGTATTCTTCACTATTGTAATCATTGCTGTGTGTCATTTTAACGAAGTTTAAAAGTATAGTACAACCAAGCAGTTCATGTGATCCATAGTTTATGGACAGGTCAATTTGATAGATGATTAAATATGTAGATAATAGTTCTCATTTTTTCTATTATATGTCAACAGTTCTAATAGAAATTAATAGAAGGAAATGTATACCACACGGTGGCAGCATTTACTAGAGAATTGGAAGGGTTCTGCTATATGTTTCTGCTATGCTTTTGTGTTCCCTGCTTTTAAGAATGATCACCCTTTCTCCTGGCTTAATGCATATTTATTCATCTTGGTTCCATTTGAAATTATGAACAGAGTTTTAGAACTTCTTAGTTTCCTGTGATGAACGTTCTACTGATTAACCTTTATCTAGTATCGTTCAGTAAAAATGAAACAATAAGCCTCATTTTTCTGTGGCTCCATCTTCCAACATTTGAGGAGATTTCATTTTCTCCCTTCTTATGTATAACTATTAATAGTTAATATTATTATTATATTTACTAATAAGTCAAGCAGTCAGAAACGTAACTCCTCTGCAGGCACTGTTCCAAGTGCTAAAAGGTATATATGAAGTTCCTACTGGATTCATATCATTGTTGTTCTAGCTGTTTGAGTCTTTCAAGTGAAAATACTATAAATGAGGGAGAAAAACAATCATCATTCTAATATGCAGATAAGTATGGTAATTTCAAGTTTGGGGAGGGTTATTGATGAGTTAAAGTGTAGATTTGCTTGATCAGGGAAACTTTCCTGGAAAAGGACTTTACCTTAAAATTTAAAAGATAGGAAAAATGAAGCAAGGGCATAAAAGTCCGTGGCCTAAACAAGACTGTGTTCACAATTGTAACCTTCTATTTCTAGTGCCCAGTAAAAAAAATGGCTCGCTAGAATAAAATATTCTATTATAGATGCCAGGTAGGTAGATACATATTAGGTTTAGTTTCTGTCTAATTGGCTAATTCTTAATAGAAGGAAAACTTTAAATCATTTAGATCAGTTTTCACACCCTCTTCATAGTACCTCCAAGTAATATAAAGAACTGGGATTGCCTTGATAAATTTGTAGAAGTAACTTGTTACTGTAATTAGGTTAATAAGAAATCAATTTAATCTTCCTTTTTAAATTCTTGGAGTATGATCCATATACAAGTGACAGGCATTACGGTGTAGTGGCTGGAGAGCTGATTTGTGATGAGAAAATGTAGAGTTAAAGTCCTGTCTCTGATACATACCTGTGATTGTGGAAAAGTCACTTTAACTTCTCAGTGACTCCAGCCAACTCTGTAAAACCATGAGTTGGTCTTGAGATGTTGTCAACCTGTATCTATAGAGGGATTTTTCCGTACATGCAGTGGTGAAATTATAAGTATAGACCAAAAGAAATCTGAATATAAATAAACTTCATTTTTTTAGAGATACTTTCATGGAACTACTATTTTAGTTCAAGTTCTTTTCTAAAATATACCAACATTAACACATATTCAATAATGAAAATATGTAAGCTTACATATACAAACACTTATGCCAGATTTTAACCCTCTGGAGTAATCCACATGCATTTATTAAAAGCCTGTCATGTACCAGGCATTATGCCAAACACTGGGAATGAATGACAAGAATGAAACAGTCCTTCGCCTTTAACTATCCTGCATTCTAAAGAGGGTGACATTTACAAGTATATTCAAAATACGGTACAAACAAGTTAATTGAAGGAACTAGTGGCTAAGAAGGATCAAAGAAGACTTCATTTAGAAATTGGTATTTGAGCTAAGCTGTCAAGGAAAGTAGGGATTCCAAAGAGGCATAGATAAAGAGAGAATGCATTCCAGGCATGGTGAAGAGCCTCTTCGAAGGCCTGGACACGGTGGGGTGGAGGGAGAAATGGGGGGAGAAGAGAGAGAGAGAGAGAGCCAGCCACATTGGCAGGGCCATAAAGTGTGAATAGGAAAGTAGTCATTGAGGCTGGAAAGATAGGTTTAACCCTGGTTAAAAAGGGCTTTAAATGCTAGGTAGAGAAGTTGTTTTTCACTTTAGAGGCCATAGGAAATCAATGTATAAAAAACATTTAGTAAGCATTTAATATGTACCTGGCACTGGGAAAACAAATAAAGAAATAAAATTGACCTTGCCCTCAAGTAATTCACATTTAATCAGAGAAGAGAACAGATATAGGGAATTAATGGCCAGGGAAGGGAGTTTTGATTTGAGATTCAGTTGGATGGTGAGTGGGGCTATAAGACTGGCAATTGACACTCACCCCTTGTAGAACTAGTAGTGCTCTTGATTTGAATACTATATCCAGAGTGAAAGGTTGAAAACAGAGGATGAAGTTGAGGATGCCCACATGTGTTAGCAAGCAGATGGCAAGATGACCTGGATGGATGATTGGGTAGGATGTGAAGATGAAACATTTTCAGGAGCTTGGGGCTACCTAGATGTAGTGGGATAAATAGACTAGTTTTCACTCTTTCGGAGTCACTGGAATTTATTGAGTGGGGTAGTGACATGAATAGGAACTGTACTTTGTATTTAACCTAGCACATTACCTAGCACAGTTCTTTGAATACAGTAAACTCAGTAAATACCAAATGAATGAATGCATGAATTATCTTAAGGGGCAGTTGGAAAGGGTAGGATTCCGACTTCTACAGCAACCCTTTGATGGTAGCTAACTTGGTCCTCTGAGCTTCCTTGTTGTCTTGTAGTTGAGAAGACATTAGTTTTCTTCCTTCCTAAAAAATTAATCTACAAAAATAAGAATGCAGGTCTTCCTTACCTTCTGTCAGTTATAGTTGAGAATTGGAACTTATAGTAGTATACTGTAAAACCGTGTTTTTAGTAGCTACTTGTTTCTAATAAACTACTTTTACATTTAGGAAAAGGTGAAGCTTATTCTAAACAAATGAAATAGTCTCTGCTCAAAAGGTACTTACATTTCATCAAGATTACATGTACATATATAAGTATAAAAATATAAATACAGCATAAATCCTAGTAATGACTAAAAAGAAGAGTGTATGAGTTCTCAGAAAACAGGGTCTAAAGGTCTTAACCTTTTTTGTGTCACAGATCCTTTGGCATTCTGGTGAAGGTTATAGACTCTTCAGAAGAATGTTTTTAAATGCAAAAAATAGGATTACAAGGAATCCAATTATATCAAAATATAATCTTTTTTTTTTTTTTTAGATCATGGGCCCTAGGTTAAGAATCCTTGTTCTAAGATTTTAAACAACTTAATGGTGGTAACTTGCCTTTTCATTTCTGAATAGGAAAAACGGGGCCTCCGAGAAGTGAGAGTTCTTGAGAATTTGAAGAATGTAATCCAGGAGACAAATGAACAGATTCTTCCTAAATGTAGAGAAACAATGCAGGACCACCTGAGCCAGGCTCTGCAGAGATGTAAGCCAGCAAATATTTGTCTTTTAAATTAATTTTTGAGGAGTGCGGTGCCAACATTTATGTCTTGGTGTTTTCTCTTTTGGGTCTTTGTGCTTTCCTTTCTATTCTGTTTCAAAAGAGGAAAGGCTTTTATTAAGGGTAAAGAGTAGGGAAATTGTGTCACAAAGAGGTAGGTACTAAGTGGTGAATATTATGATATTGTTATCAGTATTATTATAATTGTATTATTAAATAGTATGAGGTTACAGAGAAGATATTTGTTGGACTATTAGATTTTGTACATTTTTCTTATTCCTGTCATTTTTCCAATGCACAAAAATGTTAAAGATATTTGTTTTTGTCAAAAGAATAAAGCATGTTAAATCATTTGTTTCCTTCTTTAAATGAATCGGAGATGTCCTTCAGCTGTCTTTAAATAAAAAAAAACTGTCCTAAAACAGGGTGGCAAGGGAATAGAGTCTCCTTAGAGACATAACTTGTATTTTCCCTTGGGTAAGAGTAGAGTCTCTTTTGTAGTTGAACTGAGTTGTCTCACTCCTAGTGGGAGAACTCATTCATTTTGTGTATTTTCTGGTATATCCTAATCTGTATAACTTCACTGATTTCTATTTGCTCTGTGCTTGCAAAAATGAATTTACTCTGTATTTGCTGTTTGTGATGGTCATTTATGTCATTTGTATTTGGTGGGAAGCAGTTGAGTCTGCATGTATAAACTTGGATGTACCCCGCTAGCTTTAAAAGAGAGCAACCAGGGAAACTAGTAGCTTTGTAGTTTTTGAACTTTAAAAATTGCATTGCTCTGTACCAGCAATATTTAGGAAGTAAGATTAGGACAGAGAGATGTGATTCTAGTCTGTTCTCCTTTGTGCCCCCCATCTGTCAGAGGAAAACAGTGTGGCCAGCCTTATGACCCTTTATCCTACTGCCCTACAGGCAGGAATCAAAGTTTTCCTTAGAGAAGGGCAGGCAAGATTCCAGAGATATAGCTATATGCCACCCCCACCCCACCATGTTGTGGATCTAGAGGAATGAATTTTTAGATTCAAAAGCAACAAAGCCACTAGCTTACTTGTTCACTGTCTCTTAAAGGGAGACTTACAACTTATAATCATAGGTTTAACTCCTTCCCAAATGCTAGACCATCATAGTGAATAGTGAGTAAGCCTATTTATCTAAGCAGAAAGCAAACAAAATCAGAGAAGTTATATAGATTAGAATATACCAGAAAAAACACAGAGTGAATGAGCTCTAAAATGGAAATGAGATAACTCAATCAATAAAAAGACCCCAGTCTCACCCAGGGGGCTTATCTCTATGTTTCTGCCTTCCAAAATCTAGGTGTCTCTCTCCGTATGTCTGGAATTGGTCAATCAATCAATATTTATTAAGCACCAACTATGTGTCAGGCACTGTTCTAAGTACTAGAGATACAAAAAGAGACAAAAGACAGTCCCTGCCCTCAGGGAGCTTATAATCTAATAAAGGAGGCCACATGCAATCAAATATACACATACTCACACACACATACATATGTATATATATACATGTATATATGTATGTGTGTATGTATGTATGTATGTATGTATGGAGACAGAGAAAGGGAGCTATGGACAGGATAAATAGAAATAATTAACAGAAGGAGGGTACTGGAATTAAGAGGGGTGGAGAAGGCTTCCTGTAGAGACTTAAAGGAAACCGGGAGGTCAGTAGGCAGAGCATTTCAGGCATGTAAGACAGCCAGAGAAAATTCCCTGTTGAGGGATAGAGTATCTTGTTCATGGAACAGCCAAGAGACCATTGTCACTAGATTGGAGAATACATGGTGGGGGAGGTAAGGTATAAGAAGACTGGAAAGGTAGGAGGCATTTGGATGCAAAATGGAATATTTTTTATTTGATCCTGGAGACAGTAGGGAGCCACTGGAGTTTATTGACTAAGAGGGTGACATTTTCCAACTTATGCTTTAGAAAAATCACTTTGGTGGTTGAACGGAGACTGGATTGGAGTGAGGAGATACTTAAGGCCAGCAGACTCATCACAGGCTACAGCAGCAGTGTAGGTGTGAGGTGATAAGGGCTTACACTAGAGTGGTATCAGTGTCAAAGGAGAAAAGGGAACTTATTTGAGAGATGTTGCAGAGATGAAATTGCCAGGCCTTGGCAGCAGGTTGGATATGAGGGTGAGAGATAAAGAAGAATAGAGGGTGATTCCTAGGTTGCGGTCCTTAGGGGCTAGAAGGATGGTGTTGGTAGGGGATGGGGAGGGTTTAGGGAGAAAGATAATGAGTTCAGTTTTGTATATGTTGAGTTTAAAATATCTACTGAACTTACAGTTTGAGATATCTCAAAGGCCTTTGGAGACTGGAGAGTGAAGGTCAGCAAGGATGTTAGGGCAGGATAGATAGATTTGAGAATCATCAGCAAAGATGATTCTCCCAAGAGTCTGGAACTATACACATCCTTTCTCAAAGGAGAAATAAAGAATGTCTGATCTGCAGTGTCCTCCCACCAACTTCATTCTTCACCCAGACATGCAGTGGGTCATCATTCTACCCCTCATTGAGGAAAGTCTAATGTAAATGCCTCAGGCTTGAAATATGGGTTACACATATATTTTAGATGTGGAATTTCTATATCGCATTATTCTTTTTCTGACTGTGATGAATATTTGTGATGAATAGAGTTTTGACTTTGGAGTTAGTATAACCTGGTTTAAGACATGATTGACATGCACTTGCTTGTATGACTGTGGGCATGTGACTTGACTTCTCATTGCCACAAGATAACTCTAAAACTATAAATTATAAAGAAGTTACTAATCTGCATTAATGGGAAGGGTTTCTATGCCTGGATGAAATCACAGATGTCTGGATATGCCAATGAGATAATGCCAATAAAATCACAAGTTCTAGATACAAATAATCAGAAACATTATAAGTTGGAGATAATGCCACATTAAAATATACTGATTTGTTTAGTTGTTAGGGTAGTGGCAATTCTGATGTTGTGGTCGACATCTTAAAGCAAGAATTCTTAATCTGGACTACATGTCCATGGATCTGTGGACAAATTTTAGGAAGTCCCTTGAATTTAGATGGGAAAAAAAATACATCTTTATTTTCACTAAACTTAAACTGAAATTTAACATTTTCTTCAATTATGAATTTAGGCAATAAACTATAGTAGTATTAGCAGTATTAAGAAGGAGTTTGACCATATCCTCTTGTGTGCATGTCCTCTGAGGGAAACTGGCAAGGGGCCAGGCCAACTTTAGTATGTCCTGAAGCAACATCCCCTTACACCCATGACATTGTCACTTCCTACTGTCCCTGGACCCCCAGGCTCCAGCCTCAGGTGAGAAGAGATGAGAAGCAAGACCTTCCTTTGACTTTTGACTGAGCCTTCTGTCTCCTGGTGCATGTATCTCCTGAGGGAAAGCTGTTAGGGAGCAGCTGAGTGACTTTTTATCTTTGCCCGCACAAGGCAACTTCCAGCTCCTGTTGCCAGCGTGATGATGTGATTTAGAGAGCCTCAGTGCAAAGAGGATCAACCTTCCTTTTGACCTCAGACATTCCATCTCCTGCTGGACCTGTCCTTTGAGAGAAGAGAAAGAAGAAAGTCAGTAGGGAATGGGATTTCCTCCTGCTTTGCAGGTTTGACTTCCATCTCCTGCTGCATCATTTCCTGCCTTATCTTCAGGGAATAGGAGTAATGAAATGAGGCTTCCCATTTGACTGTGTGCCTTCTATCTCATGCTGTACTTGTCTTCAACCTGATCTCCAGGCTCCTACAAAGAGAAGTGATGCCTTCCAGTTAGTGATGAACATTTATTTTCGCACCTGGTCATAACATATATCCCAGTGATTCTTAAACCAGATAGGTCATCATCAAAACCCCATTCCCTGTCTTCCAACACCTGATTTCTTATTCCCATCCCCCTCAACCCTTCCACCCCAAACTTCCAACCACATGTCACCTACCCCTTCCACTGTGTCCTCTGGAATGCTACTTAGCTTCATCCTAAATCTTTTCCTCTCCTATTCCTTCCATCTTCTACCTATCACTGAAACTTGGCTCCCCACTGATGATACAACCTTCCTGGATGCCCTTTTCAGTATTGTCTGCATCTTCACTCATTCCTCTTGGTTCACTGGTGAAGGTGAGGGAATTGGAATACTCCGTGCTCCCCATTGCCACTTCCATGTTCTTCCTTTACCTCCATCACTCAGTAACCTCTCTCTTCCTTTGAGGTTCATGCACCTCATATCTACCATCCAATCAAAATTCTGATAAGCAGTTGTCTACAAGTTACTCACCTTCCTTCGTCAGCCACACACAAAGATAGTCATACCCTCGATCTGGTTATCACCCACATATGTACTAGCTTTATGTTTAAGAATTCCAAAATCCCCTTATCTAACTACAGTCTGTTGGCTTTTTCCCTCTCCCTCTGTCTTCCTTTACTAAACCCCATACTTCATCCACTTTGTAACCTCAACAGAGGTTATAGTTCTCTCACAGGCCTTCTCTCTTGCTCTTGCCACTTTTTTCCTCATTTAACCCCTTTTGGTGAACCTTGTGTCTTGAGTCCCTGGCACCCTTATCATTTTGCTGATTGTTCCCTGCCAAACCTCAACCTTGGATTGTTCCTACTGTCTGTGAACTTTGCTCCTATACCCATGCTACTGAACAAAGGTGGAGAAAATAAATCGCAACATCATTCTGACTCAGTTTCCTGTAAACTTATGTTACACAACCTCAACTGTTGGGTCTTCACTGCTGCTAGGCAGTCCTACTATACTTCCTTCATCAGTTCATCTTCCCAGTCTCCACAAGAGCTCTTCCAAACCTTTTCATCCCTTCTTAAAACTCTCATGGCTCTCCCTCTCACCACCTTCTCAGCTGAGAACCTTGCCTCATATTTTACAGAAAATTTGGGACCATTTGCCTTGAACTACTTCTCCCCTCTTTCTCACCTCATGTTATTCATATGCCTTTTGC